CTCTGGAGTGTTCCGATGGCCACCCACAGAGAGCCACCAAAGCCACTGGGGAGTCCCCTTTCCTTTGACAAAAAACCTCTCATGATTCCTCCAAGTACAAAGACACCCCTACCTCAAATTTGGCTGAAAATGTAATGTTATCACCACTTCATGCCTTCCAAAGAAGAAAAACTTCAAAAATAATAGTTCTCTCTGAATCTGCTGGAAACTCTTTTTTTAAGGAAAAAGTCAATATGAAGTGTTGAAGAATATTTAATTCCTCTTCATTTTTTGCATATGTACTCGTACTTTTTTCTTACAGAGCCTGTGAAGCTGTGACTTCTACCTCCCTTGCATTTTTTCTGTTTCAGAGAACCCTAGGGTCAAGAGGGAATGTAGGCATCACCTCCAACAGTGTTTAGGCAGTGAAGAATTTTATCAAATGACTTTCTGAGGACACCTACAGATAAAATGGATGAAAGCAGAGCTGCCTGGTTGAAGTGAGGATAGTCTGACTGTGTCCTCCCCCAACTTCTTCACAGCCCAGCTAATTCTTTCTCTCCCAGAATGGTTCTTGGGAGTGGGGTCTCTGAAGAACCACTAGAATTATGAGACCACAGTTTGAAAATTCTCATGTTATGAATAAGGAAGCAAAGGCCCAGAGAGGCATGGTGATTTGCTCAAAGTCACACAGCTTCTATGTGGCAAATCTAAGGCTCAAACCCAGATCTTCCTGCACCTACTTAAGCCAAAGCTCTTCTCATTAAATCTTACTGCCTCTAGTCCCTCTTGTCTAAGGGGGGACTTCACTGTAACACCTCACCTAACCACCTCAGCCCACAACGATGGCTACTATCTACCTGGGTCTCTCATTAGGCACTCCTTCACTTCCTTTATCTTTTTTACTCTTTCTGATTCTCCTCCAAGATTTAAAATTCCTGTGGATAGATCTTCTACTTTTGAATATCCCAGAGAACACCATAGGTGCTCCCAGAACATTGCCCATAAATATTGATTAAAACTTTGAGTAGAAAAGACTTTAATTGTTCTCCAATATCCATTTTCCATTATTTTTTATTAATAGAATCCCCTACCCTGAGGTTTAACTGAACACATGACTACCCGGCTAGAAATTACATTTCCCAGCCTCCCCTGCAGCCAGGTATGGTCATGTGATTGAGTTGTGGCTGATGAAATGTGAACAGAAGTAACATGTGCAACTTCCAAGTCATTTCCTTAAAGGAAATCACTTGCCCTCCTCTTCCTCTTTCCCCCTGGACTTGGTTGTAATGGTGAAGTAGCTTCAACCATGTGGAAGAGGGCAATAGTTCAGGGCATGATGAAGCTGTAAGATATAAAGAACCACAGTACCCAAATAACTTCATGGATCAGAGCTACCCTGATCTGCCCACCTCCCTCTGGACTCTTACCCGAAAGAGAAATAAATGTTTATCTTTTAGAGTCTCTTTGTTACAGCAGCTAACCATGTTCCTTAACTAATATAATGCAACTGTAATAATACCTGCCATGCTAGTTTGCATTTGCTTTCTGACCATCAAATCAGATCATTTTTGCAGTACATCTAGTAAAGTAATAAGTTAAATTCCAGTGTAAAATATTATTGGACCTAAAAGAGAGAAGACCCATTACATTGTGTCCAACTCCTTAGATCAAATAGATGGACTGCCCATCATGTCCAAGGGACAAGGTAGGATGTTAAAATCAAGAGCAAACATGCTCAGGTACTTGTCATCTCATTCCACCATCCCAATAATCCTACGAAGGGAGTATTTTCATTCACACGTCATAGTTGAGCAAACTGAAACAAGGAGTTAACCCCCTTGTGCACGTTGATTATGCCTGGTGAGCAGCTGAGCGTCTTCATTCCCAGGCTACCTATCCCAGGATTGTGTTCTTTTTATCCCACTTGCCAGGGCTCAACACCAGGCCCTGTGGCTGCAGCCCTCAAGGACCTCACAGCCCACATGAGAACAGATTCACAAATAACTGACATTCCCTGACAACAGAATGAAATGAGTGCTGTAACAGAGGCCTAAACACCACGATGCAGGGAAGGAGTGATTAATTCTAACCTGGCAGACGAGAAAGGATCTTTGCAGACGAATCCCCATTTGTATTGACCTTAAAGAACTGGTAGAAGCGAATAAACAGAGAAGAGAGAAAGACATGACCAGCCGAGGAAGCAGCATGAACAAAGGCAAAGAGAGAGGAAAGCAGAGTGCACGCGGGAAATGATGAGTAGCCTGTAGGAATTCTCCATGGAGGGGCTTCATGCGGGAAGATGGGGCTGAAAGTCAGGCCAGGGCCAGGCCAGGGGAGACCTTGTGTGCCAAGGGAGAACTGAAATGCTGCTTTTTAGGCAATAAGAAATCACAGATGCTTGAGGAGGGATGTTATGTGACCCAATATGTGTTCCAGTGTGAAGGAACAGGCAAGAGAAAAGGCCAAGTGCACCGGTTACTGCAGAATCACCCAGACAACAGCTAATGAGGGCCTAGATGGAAGGCAGTGGACAGACGCAGGAGACACAGCAAAGGGACAATCCCCGGGGCAGCCGACTGGATGTGGGGATGCCACCAGACACCCTGAATCTGAGCAGCCAGTGACAAGACCGTTTGTAGAATCTCTTTACAAATCTGGCTACAATTCTCACTTCCAATTTTCTACTCAAATTACTGTTTCTCTGTTTTCACTCTCAGTTAAGAGGACTACTCTGGGGGTGGGGGAGGTACACATATGTGTCATGTACTGTAATTAAGATAAAACAACAATCAAGGCCTCAGGGCCAGAGTTACCCCATGGCACACACAGGGCTGCAGCCCCCCCCTGCGTGGCACTCAGCTCCCGTACCTCCCTTGATTTAAATTAAGTCAAACTCCTACCAACACACATAAAAAATAAACTTCAGTGTCGTGTGCCTCTGAGCTTGTCATGCACTGTGGCTGTTTTCAGGCTTATGTGCTCCTGGGGAAGTGACTGAGCTTCCTAGCAGACAACTGTGCTAAACAATAAGAATTATAAGGAAAACTGTGATAGCAGATTTCTTGGGAGCTGTGAGTAAGGAAGCAGCGAGGCGGGCAGCAGTGATGGAAAGTGTTTGTATAACCCTCCTGTACCTTCTCACCCTGACACACATTGAGCTTTCTCTTTCATGATTGTTTTAGCCTCTTTTTCCCTTCCAACCACCGACCACTCAATTCTTTGAGGGAAAATTAACATTCATTATGCAATTTATCTCTCTCCTTTTAATCCAGAGTGTCTGCCTCCAAGGTCCCTACTCAATAATTAATGTTTGTTCTCATTTCCCATTCTCCAGAGCATCTATTCTTGAACTGTAGGGTCAACACTTAACACTAATTATGGCTTTTTTCTCTCTCCAGCATTGGTTCTCAGAATCCCAAGTTGCCCTGCTCAGCCTAAGCTCTGTGTGTGTATGTGGCTGTATGCATGCACACCGAGGTGGGGAGGCACCAGGGAGCAGGCTTTTCCAAGCCCCACCACAGTTCAGCTAATCAGTAAACCAAACATTTTTTTTTGGCAGTATCTCCAGTATATGTATTATCAGCAATGAAATAATGAAGCATAAATACATACACACATAAATGCACACACACACATATATACACACATACGTGTATCTGGAAATGAGTTGGGGGTAGTTAGATAGATCTCAAGATTTTTTTCAGATGTATTCAATTCCCTCTGATCTTTTTCATCCCCATTTCTATTTCCTTGGTATCTCACACCTCTCTCTCTCTATCTTTCACACACACACCAAATTTCCCACTAAAACTGTTCTTCCTTTTCGGATCCACTCTTTGCTATTCCTCTCCCTTAACTGCCTTGCTCTGGTGTGTCATCCTTATTCTCTTCAGCCCTTAAAACAGCATTATTTTAACTACTTTTCATTTGATTGACAAGGACAGCTAGGAGAATAATTCTTACCCAAGGCGACTCTAAGAGATCTCAAAAAACAAACAAAAAAAATTCATCAGGGCTATGCAAAAGCCAGTCTGTCTTTTTGGCTGGAATCAGATGGGCTAGAATCCCTCCTGCCTCCCTGGTCTAGCCTCTGAATTTGCACTGCAGCTGGAGGCTGGGGCTCCTCATGCATGTCTGTCATCCCCCATCGCTGCACATCTGCTGTTCAAATCTGGGCATCTCCTCATGGCGGGTGTCAGGCATTAACTGTTTCATGCTCTTGCTCTGTCAAAAGCTCTCCTTTCAGAACTTAGGCATCACAGCACCTGCGGTGTTTCACCCTTCAACATCTTAAATAAAAATATTATTTTCTCCAATGCTTTTTAAATCCTAGATCAACCTTCCCTCCATGATAGCAGTTTAGGGTTGTCAAAACAATCTAATTCATTATGAGGCTGAGGCATCAAGGCATCCACTTTGTTTTCTCCTGTCTTGGGGTAAGGAAAATAGCTTTTTTTTCTCAAGACTTTTTCATGTTCACAGGTAAAACCCTTATTGTTTTTCAGCCTATGAATCTACCAATTCAAATACCAGCCATGGAAAGGAGTCGTCTAGTATTCAACATCTTCTAAAAGGTAAAACTGTCCCCTAAAGAGTCACTTTTACTTCTCCTCTATGTCATTTGACTCACATACATATTATTTCATACCTTGACCTCCAGAAACACACAATTTCTCCCCAAATATAGTAGTAAGTAGGAAAGAAAACGTATCTCTTGGAGAGCCTGAGAAATGGAGTATCCTCAAGAGTTACTTGTGGGGAGCCCTGTGTGCTATGGTGTGAGTGTGAGTGTTAGGGGAGAAGAAAAGTCGAACCAAATGCTTGTGCTGAGCTGGACCAGGAAGGAGAATCTGTGGGGGTGTCCTGTGGGTCCTGCAGGTCATACGCTGCACAATTCACATCATAATGAGGTAAGCACTGCCTCCCAGAGTTGTGCACAGTTCAATGTGCACATCCACAAACTAGAAAACTGCCTGGAAAAGACTCTCAGGCTTGTATTCTAAGTGGAGGGCTGAGGCCAGTTCTCTTTTTTCAAGCTTCCTGTTCTACTTCGCTTCCCCGATGGAGAAATAAGCAAAAACTGGGAGTGCAGGTTGACTTTGTAGTTCATCCTCCACCCACTGCCATTGCTGCTTCTGCTTCATACCAGGGGGAAAGGATGATTAGGTAAAGACTTTCTCTCGATCCTAAAAATAGTCTTTGATTAATAGAGAAATGTGTGTGGTCTTCCTCACTGCTTATTTTGGGGCAGGCAGTGATGAATCCTGCATGAGGGACCTGCTAGAGTAACAGGAAGCAATGCCACAGATCAAGGGCTGGAGCCAGAGTTGGGTGGAGGACACTGTTTTTGCTGGAGCCTACAAAACTAGAAGGAAAAAGGGCACAATCATATGTTTGCCAGTCTCAAAATTTATTAAGCAGAGAAATACTTGGGAGCCTGGCATTCTGCATTGCCCCTCTTGCCATTCTCCTTGAAGGGACATCCTGGCCATGGTGGGAAGAGTTGCAGTGTCAGTCATGTTCATTCTCACTTGTTGGTTGGAACTGGGCCAGAACGGCTCTTAATAGGAGCCCTCTAGTGAAGGATGATGATGAAGATGGTAACCACCATTGCTGCCTACCTTTGATATGCCAAACATTGTGCTGAGTGTTTTATATTCATTATTTCACTTCATCCCCATAGCAACAATGGCAGGTAAATTCTATTATTATCCTCACTTTTCACCCAGGATAATGTGGCTCAGAGAGGTTGAGTGACTTGCCCAAGGTCACACAACTAAGTGGTGAAGCTGGGCTTTGACCTGTAGCAGCCTGCATTTTTACCACTACGCATGGTTAGTGGTGATGTCAATCTAAATAGGCACGTTTCTATCTGACAATATGTGAGAGTTTAGGAAGTTCCTGACTTAATAATGACTCATACTAATAAATGACTTCGGTTGCACATTCTTTCCTCCCTCTAATTCCCCTTACTCAGCATCAGAAACCCCTTTGTGAGTAACACTGAAAATGATTTGCAACTTTCAGAGACACAGGGAGAAGCTGAAAAAACACGTAGGAACAGTTTGGGAGAACTAAATTGCTAAAAGAGACTATCAAGCCAGATAGGTTTGTTACAGGATAGCTCTCCAGACCAAAAATACTTTTCTTAATATGGCTGAAAATGTTACAATTTTACTTCATTCTACTATTAAAATCTCACCAATAGAGATTCATTTTGAATTCTGAAGTAATCTCTTAAAAGGCTGATACTTCTGAGAGGTTAACAGTCATTCACACTTTAATAAAAATGTATTTAATCAGATGGCTGTCCTCTTGCAAGCTAGTTGAGAACAGCTGCTCTGAAGGGCTAAAAATTCTGATGCAATGGAAAGAGAGGTGGATAATTTGGGAGATAACTAGAGTTTTAAGGGGTGAAACATGCTAGACTGGTGGGTACCCTGGAGGTCTTGGATGAACAGGACATTAACTCTATGGAAAAGGAAGCACATGGAGAAAAGTACAGAAAGGAAAATGGTAGTGTGCCAAAGGGAAATTTCAGAATTGGCCCATGGCAAGCTCTATACCCCATAAAGGAAAAGAAAACTTTTATTCCTTCTCAACTCCTAGTAATAAAAAGACCTTAGGCTAATGCAAATCCCTTTCTTATTTCCAAGCTTTTGAACATACTGTTCTCTTTGCCTGGAGCATAATTCCTCCTCTCCTCCTATCCCCTGACATTTTTTTAATTGTGGTAAAATACACATAACATAAAATTTGCCATCTTAACAATTTTAAAGTGTACAGTTCAGTAGTGCTTGGGAGATTCATGCTGTTGTGTAACCAATCTCCAGAACTCTTTTCATCTCACAAAACTGAAAGTCTCTACCCATTAAATGCCAATTCCCCATTCCAATGGGACTACCCATATAAGCACAGAGCACCTGCTTCAGGGCTTAGAATATAAGAAGCTTATTTGTTCCCTTGATTTGCTCAGAGACCTCAGCAAAAAATTCTTACATCTCTTTGAGCTTAACACTCCCCATTTGTCTTTAAGAAAATGAATATAACACTACTCTGAAAATACCTGAAACCCTCTGGAATTGAGTTCAAAAAGCAATTTAAAACATCTACTTACAGGAATCTACAGAGCATTCTCAACATTTTGTTTTCTTTTTGGTCGACTGCTTTTAAGGAGTATTTTCAGATAAAAATGATAGGATTTTTAAAAATTATATAGATGGTGAACTTCAGGTATTTGTGGACTTGAAGGCCAGTTTTGACAATTTGCAAATGACTTCAGAAATCAGGGACACATATACTTTGTCATTTTACAGAGGCAAAGTCAAATCATAGAGCTCTCAAGGCTGGGAGACAGATGACCATCACTAAGCGAGTGAATGCACCTCACCAACCTCCAAGCCAACCTCAGTGTTGTGGTCTATATTCATTGTAACATCTGCAATAGCTCTTATGAAGTTATTTTTTAAAAAGAAGAGTATTGATTTTTTTAATGGCCCTAAATGTAAGGTCAACTGCTGAGACCGGTGATGGAATTAAGAGAAAGTGCAGTAGTCTAACAATTCGATGATCCTCTGCCAAAAAATAGTTTTTAAATCACTCCAATCCTTTATTTATTGACTCATTAAGAGTCTGAAGAACTCCCCCTCTCTTTTCATTCTTACTTTAGTTTTATTGGGGATATGATATACACTAGGGGTATTCACAAATCCAAGGATTCTTAACATTCTCACGATGTGTCCCTCCTAAAGTAGCCAGGATCTGCTGTTCATTTAGTGTATAATACGCACAAGGGATCAGGGTCTTGCTCAAGCAGTGAAGTCGTGCTTAGCACAATGCATTTTAAGGCTGGTATGGATTTCAGGATGTCTGTCTGTGTGTGCATGACAGTGTCAGTTATATTTCTCAACCTATAATAAAACTGAGAATATTAAGTTTTGTTCTGTCAGAGTGATCCAGAAAGAATAATTTTTATTAACTAATAATCTATAAATACTATTTTCTATTTCATCACTCTTCAGATATTTCTGTTATCTTCTCATCAAAAAGACCATAAAGAAGCATGAAGCTTTTCTCAAGAATATTTGTTTTCCTCCTAGTTTCTCTCTTGCTTCTTTCACACATCTCCCTGTGGCCAAAAGATTTTCATTTGCTGTTGTCTTATTTCCTAGCAATTCCTCATTTGAAAATTAATGAAGACACCAGCATCAGAACATGTCCAATAGAAAGAATTAGTGAGTCTGTTTTACAGAGTACCTAAAGATTGCTCATTCACTCATTCGTTACACAAACACTAACTGACCATCTACTAATGCCAAATAATGTGCTAGGCATAAGAATACAGCTGAGAGAAAAAGTCCATGCTTTAAAGTCATCCACAGTAGTGGAGTGCGCCGAGAGCCATGAATGAGCACAGGCTAATCCAACCTGGAGGTTAAGAAGGCTTTTGGAAAGAGAGGACACTTAAGCTGAGTCTCTAAGGATATATGTAGCCAAGGGGAAAAGAGGAAAGTATGTTCCAAGGAAAGAGACCATATGAAGGTTAGAAAACATGGTGGCATGGGAGGAAATGCAAGCAGCTCTTAATGCCTGGCCCCCAGGATACATGGTGGGGGGGGGTGTGAGACATGCTGCTGGTGGGATAGGCAGGAGCCAGATCATCAAGGCCCAGAGGCAGCAACGAAGGAATTTATTCCAAAGGCTGTGAGATTCTGTTTATGCAGGAATTGACATAACCAGATTTTTATTTTAGAGAGATGACTCTCCCAGCTATGTAGAAAATAGATTACAAGGGGTAAGACTAGAGGTTGGGAGACCAGATGTCCACACTTGTTTGCGAGCAAGTGACCAAGAATAGTATTTTCTGCAGCATATTGAACTGAGATTGGTTGGCTGCTTTGGATGAAGCTCCACCTTCAGCCTCTTTTTTGAATTCTCTTCTTCCACACCATCTTCCACCACAGATATCCTTATTAATCCTATGATGTATACTGATTGAAGGGTTCCTCATGTAGTTGATATTTTGTTGCTACACAACTTGAATTTAAATTCTATCATCTTAGCTCACTTTCCATTTGGGGCTTGGTAGACTGCCATGTACCTTTGGACCTCTACATAAAAAATAATTTATGGGCTTTTGAGAGAAGTTGGTATTCCCAAAGCTAAAGCCAGACCCTTGAGACTGAGCTAGCCTTGGCCTATGAAGATATAAGTAAGTTAAAGAACTGTTATTCCAAATTGGAAGAAAAATATTGTCCTTGCATTTACTAGGCATGTCCATATTTAAATTCAGTCTGACTCACATCTTCTAGATCTGTCCACTTGGCTCCTTTAATAGAGCTCTCTGGGGTACGTCTTTAGGCTGGAGACTTTCTCAGGTCTTAAGCAACTGTTTGATATGCCCATCTCACCCTCCTCCTCATCCAGGAAGATTTAAAGTGAAAATGTGTAGCATAAACAAGGTCTTAAATCTTGTTCCAAGAATTTGATAATGACAGTACCAAAAGGCCATCTTGGGTCTGGGTCTCCTGCATTAAACAAGCAGACTCAAGATTTATTATGACAAAAGCTCTACAGGTCATAGGCATCTTGAGTCATATCATATAAAGTATTTTTAGATATCATTCTTAAGGAAAGGTCAGCACGACTATGTAAAGGGACCAGAATTATCTTTCCTTTTATAGTTTAGTTTATACTGGGAAGAATTTTTTTTTTAATAATCTGGAATTTGCCTTTGCATTTTCCATTTTTGACCAAAAATACAAAACCATGAAGGTACAAAGGCTGACTTTTAGGACTCCTCCCATTGCTTTCTGCTGCAAGTCCACATGCAAAGCTGTGAAATGGCAAAGGCACTTGCTGAGATCTATTTGGCAACGGATACATCCCCTGCTCAGTGATGAACCACTGCAAGTTATGGGGGAAGTTCCATGAGTACATAATAGAAATCGAAGGGCACTCATGCCTCAGAAATGATATGTGTGGGAGAAGGCCCTACACATATCTAAAGAGGCTCCTGCCAGCACTTCCAATAGCTCCTGCCCTGTACCCATTGACTATCTGACCACTTTGGAGCCTGCAGGTCTGATGTTCTCTTAGAAACCCTGGCATGCATTTAGGAAGGAGCCAGGTGGCCCACTTTGCCTGATAAGGTAACTTTTTGAAGTTCACTCTCTATTTTGATATCTGATGGGCCTCACCAGACCATCCTGTACCAAGGGAAATAAGGTTTCTGAAAAATGGAAATTAATATGACAGTGTTTCATTTTTATTTAAAACAATAAACAACAACTTGAGAATTAAACATGGCCAATAGGTTGAAACAGAAGGCAATTTTAAGGCACCCATATTCCATGCTAGTATCAGATGCTCTCTCCTGCTTTTCAACTTTTGAGTGTTTGCTGAAGGATCCCATGATTTGAAGAAGGCAGAAGAGGTTTGGGATGAAACCCTATCTAGTAAGGGTCATCTCTGAAATTGCCTGATTATCTGGTGGGAATGCTATCTCCTTGCTAAAAGCCTGTGGCTAGATTAATGCTAGCGTTTGAAAATCTACTCAGGCCTGATGGTGGGCAGCCAGGGAAGGAATGTTTTTTCTGTTTATCTCTTTAGTGGCAGACATGTTCATCACTGAAAGACTCTGAGCTTCCAGTTTCAGGCAGGCCTGGAAGTTGTGTAGTCTGTAGTCTGTAAATGTACATACCAGCTCCAGAACAATGGGAAAGAACAGGGCCTGTGTTCATAGCCTGCTGCCTGCACTGGTCGATGGGTTAGTCAGTTTCTTCAGCTTGATTAGAGGGGTAGGTCCTGCCACGGGGTTCAGAGAGGAAGTTTTACCACCCCCATTGCTTTATCTCACAGGAATGCAGTTTGAGTTGTGTCTCCTCCTTGACAGCTTGGACCTCAGTAAATTATCAGGGTCTTGACCCAAGAGATGGAGAAGTCTTAGGCAATTTTTCAGTCTCCTATCTAAAAATGTGTTTACATTTCTTGAACTCTGGCTGACTGATTCATTCTCCTGGTGTTGCAAGAACTTTCCTTATGCATTAGAATTTATAAGTTTCATTTCTAAGAGACCCATGGTTCCTTCCAAGCCACGGTGGAGTGAACCTCAACACAACACAATTCTGTTGGGCTGGATTTGTCCAGAGGCTGGATCGTGGCCAAGCAGCAGTGATGTGGCAAGATCAAGGGAGGCGAAGAGGAGGCAGTGTGAGGTGGAGGGGAAAGTAGGAGATGCTAAAACAGGAGATCTGGGTTCCAGGTCTGGTCTTGCACTATTTCAAGTTATGGCCTTGAACCAATCACATGAAACTACACTCTGGGCCTCAATTTCCCCATATGTCTTAAATAAGAAATGTTTCAAATCTGCACAGGAGCCATTTTCAAACAGGACAGAAGAGAACAGCTGAGAAACAACAGAAAAGGGAAGGTCAGCCCACAAGTAATGAGTAGAGGCTTCAGGTCAAAGGGACAAAGAGGCAGAGTCACATATGGCTACTTAGGAGTAGCAAGTATGGAAAGAACATTTTGTTGGACACTAGGCCCAAACAAGAGACTAAAATCCTTGTCAGAAGAGCCATGCGCTTAGCTAAATCTGTTCCTCAAATAAACATTCCTTTATAAACATTAAATTTACTTTCATAGGAAAAAAAAAACCAAAATAAATCCTATCCTTTTGCAGCTTGAGGTTTGAGTCAGATAGTCTTGGACTCAGACCCTTACTCAAAACCTCACTAATTGTATCCTCTGGGGTAGGTTACTTTACCTTTTGAGCCTCAGCTTCCACACCTGTAGAGAGCATGGTAACACAGCCATAGAGAAGAGTCATGCAAATTACACGCCACCCCCATGTCAGTGTCTGTGCGGTGCCTGCTTCAGCGTGAGCACCATGATTTCCATTAGTCCCCTCCCACCAGCCTCTTTTTGGCCTTTGCCTTTGTTTGCTTCATGTTTCCACCTCTTCTGTTGCCCCTCCACATCGTGAGGGAAAAGGGAAGTCTCTGATCTCTCTATCTGGAAGGCTGCAGAAGCATTTTCCTACTTCAGTGAAGTAGGATCATACAAAATTTATATTCAACAGTATCAGCAGATTTTTTCCATCAGTATTTCCTTTTTAATTTCAGCTTTATCTGAATTTTAGTAGCACAAAGAATTTACTTTTGTTCTTTTAATGAGCAACCAGAACATGAAAAATAGAAATTTGAATATAAGGTCTCAGCATTATATTTAACATGGCATTTAGACTATGCCTATAGAGGTTACAGGTGTTATCTGGTGAGTAAGTATGAATGCCATGTGCATACATGTGTTTATACTCTTACGCATATGAACTAGGTATACAGCAAATATAAAAATTCATAAGACCTAGATCTGACAACTCTGATCCTTTTCTCTCTGATTTTCACCACAGAAAACAATGAATCCAGAACTGATCTTCACATGAATCTTAATGAAACCTCACCTTTGACCCAAAAGCCAGAGAAGCAGGTACAGTACAGTATTGACTCTGCATGAGTATGAGACTGGGAATCAGGACTTCTGGGTGCTTGTCCCTGCTTCCTGTGTGCCCCTAGGTGAGATTCTTCACCTCTCTGGGCCTCATTTGCCTCATCAATTAAATGAGACAAGTAGCCTGTAAAATCGCAGAGGTTCCTTAACTCATAGACTTGGAATGTCTTAACTCAACTTGGACTGTTTTGTCTGGCTCTTCACGAGCATGAACAAGCTGAATAGGCCTTTCCCTGACGTCTGCAAAGCCCAAAAGGGAACAAGGAAACATGGAAAGGCATCCTCCACCGAAGCACTAAGACTTTGTGCCAATGGGCTCATTTTTTTTCCCCACTCCAATTCTCGTTCCTACTGGGGAAAGGAAAACAGCAACCCAGAAAAAAGCACAAGGATCCTGTGAAGAAAGGAGAAAAATGCTTTATCTGGATGGACTAAGATTATCTATTAGTGGTTCAAGGACATACGGTCACAAATGTTTATAAATTTGTCCCTTCCATTGAAACTTTGAGGCTGGGGCTGTCTTCAGGTTCACTCTAGAGAGACAACTCAGGGGGATTCCTAGCGCTTCGTGGGTCTCAGAGAAGCCGAGGCAGAAGCAGCACAGCCCAGGGCTCTCTCAGGTCTCTCCCTGCCGAGCGACAGCCTGGGGAGGGGGCCAGGAGGGGCACCAGCAAGGTCTCCATTTCTCCCTTATCTCCAACTTCCTGGCTTTCTCCTCTTCCCTCACACTCATTAAAAAACAAGAATAATAAAAGTAGTTTTGTTTGCCTGTGGGTGCCTAGCTGGGTTCTGAGGAAGGACATGAACTCTCACTGTTAGAACCCCAGGCCGGGGTCAGGCCTCCTCTGAGGTGACACACAGCTGAGTTGACCCTTCCTGCTACTGAGGAGCCACAGAACCAACATTTGCACATTTTTTTACATGCCTGCTTTGAAGACACCCCTTATCAAGGATCTAGAAAGTTTTCTTTTTCAAGAGAGTCCGTGACTGAGGACAGTATACTATGCTATGTTTCCATAATTCCACAACTCCAAGGCCTTGCCAGTACCTCATATTCTAAACACACTCCAAATTCACACAGCCCCCTGCGTGTATTTCTGGAGACCTCATATCACCTGCAATAAAAGAGTGGCTCAGTCATGTCAAATTAAGTCCGAGACTGAATTATTAACCTTGCAGTCAGAAAGAGGAACACCAGACCGACAGTCTTAAACTCTAATCCTGGGTTTCCCTTGCGAGGCCTGGCAAACCGGCTCTCTCTGAGCACTGCATGTGCCTCCTCTGGTTGGGGGGGGGGTCCCCACCAGAACCAGTCGGTTTGCTCAAGGCACAGAATCTTATTTCCTTTAGAAAAGTAGCCCCTGAAAGGAAAGCCATTTGAGGAAACGTCTGGAAAACCCCCACCGACCCCCAAACGCAGAGAAATGGGGAGGTGGGGGAGGGGAGGTGTCTTCTGCGCTTCCCCCACCCCCTTACTTCTTGAGGCTAATGGCTTTTTATTAGATTAATCACCGACTTCAATTTTAACTACTTCCTCAAACTCCTCCATGTAAATGACTAATTTCATGTTTACTATAAAGCATCTGGAAAGGATTTAGAAACAAATTTCTGCCCCGCCGATTTCAGTTACGTACCTTGACGGGACACTGGCAAATCCAGCGGAGTCCTTCCACTGTCGCCTTCCTACTCTGAAGCAGGCTAGGATATCACACAAAACTGATCTTTATCAGCATCAGAGGTTTCTGCTCTTCGTTCCTTTCCATTAATTCCCTGCCCCCCCCCCGTGACTCCCCTACCTCCCTTCCTTCACTGGGGTCTGACCGTGTCAGGAGTTCAGTCACACAAAGTACTTTTACTTTTTTATCAGTGTGCTAGCTGCGAGGAAACAAAACCCTACAGGTGGACTATTTTGGCATCACCATGCTTTAACGAGAAGTCCCATACCTCGATTTGGAAAACAGTTTCTGATGGGCGGGGAAGAGAGAAAGCCAGACGGTGCTTTGCAGACGTGACTGGGTTCCCGGATTTCCCCGGTTCTGGAAGCTGCCTCTGGTGCCCCCTGCTGGTCGGACTGAAAACCCTCCGCCGTGCGGTTGCGAAGCGGCGGGCGGCGCTGAGGCCCCGAGCGCGGAGGAATACGGCTCCGGCCTTCAGCGCACAAGGTGGCAACCGTGGGGCTAACTCCTGAGGCAGCCCTTCCACAGCCGGACGAGAACCAGGGCCTCGGCGGTAATCCACAAATAGACATCAGCAACTTCCTAAGAGTTGGAGGAGGGGGTTAAATTGGGGAGAGACGGGGAAAGAAACCTACAAGGGGAAATGTGGAGATGAAAAGAGAAATGAAAAAAGAAAAAGGAGACAAGCAGACATGTTTCAACTCCAAGCTCCCATTTCCTCTTTCAAATGAACTGCCTCCCCACTGTGAACGGAATCAAGTATTTATGAAGGCATTTTTTGCATATTAATAGCTGCATGTGGAGCGTTGCCAGTTCTGAAGTCCTAAAGGTATGGTGCCCTTTTTTAAATGCAGGTCCTTCAAACACCTCACAGAATCTGGTATTCTCCTTCACATATATTTTACTTTTTGCCTCATGGCTCCTCCTCAGGCCTTTCATTTGATTAAGCGAAATTAGTTCCTGGGATAAGGTCAGAGACCAAGTACTGCTCTTACGTGGGGGTGGCTGACATCAATCACTAGAGAAGCTTTTCCTCTTCCCCAGGGCCTCTCTGTGTAGAGGCCAAAGGTTGAGGGAGGTGACCAGCATCTAAAAAGAGTATGAAAATTCTAAATGAAAATTCTAACAGTAAGTGTTATCCTGTGCAGGGAGAAAGTAAAACTTAAAAAAAAAAAGTGAGAAAATAATTGCATTAACTACAATAGCATTATTATCTAAACTCAGTAAAGATCATATTCAATTTTAAAAGAAAAACATTGAAAGCCAGTTAGAAAAATAAGCAAAAGACATAAACAATTCATATCAAAAATAATAGAAAACACATAAGGAAACAATATTCATCCTGAGTAGCAATTTATATTCAAATTGAAGCAAACTGGAGATATCGTTTTATATATGAGATGTGTGCCTCCTCTCACATTTTTTAATGGTAACACCCAGCACTGCTGAGGTTTGGGTAAAACTGGTACACTTATACACTTCTGGTGGGTGGTAATTTGTTTCAGTCCACTTGTAAAGCAAGATGGCAGTATGACTTGTGAAATGTAAAAAAACATTCGTACCCATTGATTCAGTTATTTTTGACTTCTGGGAATGTATCCTAAGAAAATAATTTAACAGGAAAAAGAGTGAGTGAAGATGTCCATTGCAGCATTATCTATAATGGGAAAAATTGGAAACAGCCAGAGAAGTGATTAAGTTAATTGTGAGGAGTTTAATTCTGCTTTTAAAAAATGGTACTTTTTCATGCTAGAAACTGATTTAAGACAAAAGGTTTAACTCATGGTTTCCCAGCCTCAACACCATTGCCATATGAGGCCAGATATTCTTTGTTTTTGAGCTGTCGTGTGCATTCTAGGATGTTGAGCTACCCACTAGATACCAGTAGCACAACCCTCTTGTTTGTGACAATCAAAAATGTCTCCAGTCCTTGCCAGATGTCCCCTGAAGGGCAAAAGTCACACATACCCCTGCCCCGCCCCTCTTTGAGAATCCTAATTTCATTTGAAAAGCGGAAATCAAAGTGATGTCAACTATGTAAAAAAATTAATGTATCTATAAAGAAAAAACTTGCAAATAATGCATGCAGTAAAGTGCAATCATGCTAATTTGACATTAGGGATGTTCGGGGTTGAGTTTTTCTGTTTTTATTTTGTCTTCCTGATTTTTCATTGTTTTTCTTTTTTTCTTTTCTTTTTTTTTTTTTTTCCCCAAAACTCTCCCTGTAAGGAAGAAAAATGCATCATGAGGAGAGCTGGTTTTACTCAAGTCTGGCTTAAAATGATCAGGAGTCAGAGTAAACAGCAAATATACAGCAAGCTAAACAAGGGTCCACACCATAGTGTCATTATTTGTTAACTACTGTTAGTTAAAATTATTTACATTTATTCAGTTTTTGTTAGATGATTGGATAGGGCTATCAGAATTCTCCTTTTAAGGATTTCAACCCCCTTTTCAGTGTTTTATCCCTCTGATCCTCGACTTTCAGTGGCAACGAATTCACCTATTTTTCTGAAAAGTCTGGATTTCAAAGTATGAAACTCTCTAGTCCATCCAGATCCATCTATGTTAAGTTTGGGACAAGAGTGGCGCTGAGCCCACTGGCCTATGGAGTTGTCGGGGAAGAGAGGTTGTCAGTAAAGAGTATCAAAGTACAAGCTCAAACCTTAATTAGATTTCCCAAGAATCATTGTATCTCTTTGTTTAAAATAAGAAAGAAACCATCTCACCCATTTTCACGTTGTCAGTTTTGTCTCTTTGTTAGGGAGAGCAAACATCCCTTCTCACTTGCTTTATCTTGGGTTTTATTTTGTTGCTTTGTGGGGATTAGAACTTTGGTAGTGTCCTAAAAATCCTATTAAACAAGAATTATGTCCCTTTTTCCTATTTCACAAAGCCCCTTCTATTTTGACCTATATTATCTCTTGAGTTCAGGTTTCATGAGTTTACAGCAGTATAAATCTATTTTTGATCTTATGTGTCCTAAATTTACCTCTTTCGGATTTCAAAGAGTAGTCTGTAATTCTAGCACGCTAAGGATTTCGCTTGAATAAACCTATGTTTACCCCATCTGTTTCCTTGGTGGTTTCACAGATGGTGTTCATATCCCATTTCAGCCTTCCTCTTTCAGGAGGAAAAAAAGAACACCTGTAGACACACTAAGTTTTTGTGCAAGCATACAAAGGTAACCTTTTGTTTCAGTGTCCTTCTGAACCATACCCTGCCTTTTGTCGAACTTTTTAGCTGTTAATCTAAGAGTACATAGTTCCTGGCACATGGTAGCCAGGAAGAAAAGAAAAAAGA